ACTACCTTATGAACGAAAAAAATACTATTTTAACGAAATCAAGAGATTTGTGTGAGACGCGGAATTTTGATCTCACATTATTACCATAATATATTATTTTAGTATACATGTATAAAAATTTTATATTGGTTTTAGACAAGTAATACAAATGGGTGGATACTGTTATAAAGATATTCTTGCCTTTTATAATCCAAAGGAGGTGGTGTCAACACTAAAATATATAAAGCTTTAATTTTTTGGTTACCAATAAATTGAATTCAGTAAAAGGTCCATTAGCAACTTCTTGAACCAAGATTATATGCTTCAAAAAGAAAACGTTGATAATTCTGGATGCGTGATAGTTCCTTGAAATAAATTCCCCAAATAGATTTGATATCCAAGTATTGAAAACCTTTTCCACCTTCTGCTGGACTAAATCTAATAATTTTTCTCTGTCGATCACTCTAGTGATTGAAGGCTTTTCATTGGTGTTTATTTTATTTTGTTTGTTTAAATTTTCTCCCCCCCTCTCTTAATTTTCAAATTAAATTTGAACGGCCTAATGGAGTAATAAATTATTTATCTGTAAATTGTATTGACATATTAGAGATCACATGTTTAAACAACAATCTATGCTTGGTTTTACATCTAATGGTAGAAAAAGTTTTTTTAAAATAAAGCAAAGTTACTGTTTAAAATCTCTGCTTCTAGTAAACATCCATGAAAATTATTTCACTAGATATGGCATGAGTAGAGACTATATTTTATTTTTTACATATAATTAATTATATATAGTTGGCTTGGTCTAAAGACCTCCTAAGTTTCGGGCAAATTTTAAAAGTATAGAAGTCATTTTCTGTCCTACCTTTTTAAAAAAATGCCTCACTAGTTAGTAAAATAGGTTTATATAATGCTGTTGGAGAATCAAATTGTCCTATACGGTAGTTGATAAAAAGGGGTTGAAATTTCCTTTACTTGTTACTCACGAGTCAAGGTGGTTTTCCCACTACTAGGAGGACCTAGAACAACATGAAGTTGTGGATTTCACTAAATGCATTTTTAAAGTTCTCATTTCCGATTGAAAAAAATCTTTTCACAATTAACTTGTATTGTATAATGAGGAACATAGCCATCACTCAGTGTATTTGAGATAAAACTACCACTAGTAGGCATGCATCTGAAGGATTTATTTAAACAAACATAACTAATTAAATAGAAGCAACGATTGATTTTTATTAGGTCTCACAAGATAAGTGCGTAGTATCATCTTTAAAAAATTGATGACGCCTGCTGGCTTATTCATATTAATTCCAAACTGGGAACCTACTAGAAGAAAAAATACATGATCAGTGAGTGGTTTCTATGAACTCCTAATAACGATGACACATGAGGAATAAGTATTATAAAAAAATTAATTGCGTAACATAATTGTCTAAAATACCATAGTAAGACAATACTTTATAGCGCAACCTATTGTTTGTGAAAAATATGTATGACCCTTCACTCAGTAAATTCTTGAATTTCCAATCACACGCAGATGATTTGGAAGATGAGAAAGCAAAGCATAATCGGTACAAAAATGAGCTGAATACTATAAGCTAGTATTATACTGAAACATCTGAAACTGGGCAGAATGTGATAAAATAGATACAAGAATTCAGGGTATTATATCTTATCTTAACGATGTGTGAGTGTAGTGTCTTCACAAACTACTTTGTGGACTGCATGTACATAAGAGAAAGACCGTGTATGTGTTTATCTGAAAATTGTGTATTAGTATGCACCATTTCACGGACTACTTTGTGGACTGCATGTTCATAAGGGAAAGACTGTGTGTGTGTGTGTTTGTCTGAAAACTGTGTATTAGTATGCATCATTTTAGAGGTTAGAATCGACTAAACTTTTTTTTGAACAACTAATAGTTGACTATTTTAATCGATTATTTAGTCGACTATTTTAGTCGATTATTTAGTTGACTATTTTAGTCGACTAATTAGTCAACTACTAATACTACTAATATTAATACTAATACTAATACTAATACTAATACTAATACTATGCTAATATTATTATTGTCTGACCAATTACGATTTTCGTGTTTTATCATTCAAAATGGAAAATTTCTATGCGGAAGAGTATCAATACCATCAACATGATGATGTCGACAATAATAGTGGTGTTGTTGATGATAATTTTACATGCGAATGAATAAACATTTCCAATGCAAGGTCCAATAGTTCATTGGTTTCAAGTTCCAATGATTTAAGCGGTGGTTCCAGAAGACCTTTAAAAAAACGAATTGTAACACATGGTTTTGTGTGGAAGCATTTTGAAAAAGTGTAAGATTCAAATGGAAATGAATTCGTAATTTGCAAATTAAAAAAAAAAAAAACGAAATATTATTATTATAAAAAGAAAATTTAGTCGACTAAAGAAATTTTTGACCAACTAGTAGTCGACTAAAGATTTTTTGGTCGATTCCAACCTCTACATCATTTCATAGACTACTTTACGGACTGCATGTTCGTAAGGGATAGACTGTGTGTTAGTTCAGGAAAAGTTGCTTACTTGTCCGAGGTTGATTCTATGTTGTTCTTTTTATGTAAAGTAAAATAATAATTCGTCACTATTTTCTCTATCCTTTTAAAAACAATCTTCATAAGAATGATAAGAATTCGAAACAGGGAAAAGACAAAATATTTTAATTTGGTTTAAGTTGTTTGAAGAGAAAAGAAAGTTAGTTGTGAAAGAACAAATAGGTATCTTTATAGTATTTTCGAAAATGGCTTTTTGCTTTGATAACACATCCCAATATGGTTCCTTTCCAAAACCTTTCCAGAAATCAATCAGCAGAGTTTCGGCAAGCAAACTTACATCTCAACGATATTAAATGTAATCTGATGAAGAGTGAACTGAGAGACCAAATCTGTCTTGAACAGGTTAGTATGTTGAATTGAAACTTAATTACATCTATATTGATATTGGCATACTGAAAGGTTTGTTTTTAGACCCGGCATGTTCTTGATGCTACAAGAGAAACCCGATCTTACTACAAAAAACAACCACCAAAAGGCACTTGTTGGATGAACCTTGTGAGCAAACCTATAATGAGGATAAACGATCAGGGGAAAAGGTTAGTGTATAGCTTAAATTTTTGTCTGCAAAAATATCTTATAAAAAATAAATCAGCTTTAGAGGAGGAATATATTGCCTGATGACACTTGCTATTTGTTGTTCTCAGTTTCAATAATTTAGACAAAATTGAGAATCGAAGGTTCAAATGAAACCCAAGGAATAATGGCAAATTATGAGAACGATACATTTTTAGTACCTGATCATGGGAAGGATAATTTGAACAACATAGTTGATCAGAATGAAGACGATGGAGAGGATTCAGGTTATAATAATGATATTGGTGATAAGTTTTTGTTTTACCTGTAGTTAATAACTAATAAATATGCTAACTTTCCTTCTTCCAGGCTTTGCAATGTTTGAACAATCATGAGAAATCAATAAGAAATGTTTTGCTGAGATTCTTGAATATAATAAATCCAAAGAAAGTAAATCTGGCAAAAAAACTTATGGATTCGCTTTTTTTAAATGGTATAATTGATATGTCTAATGTTAAAGAACAAATAAATCAAAAATTAAAGGAAGAGCAACTCAATTGGTTAAGTAATGTCCTGGATAGGAAAATAAAACTCTGATGAAGATATTAGACCCTGTTTGCTAATAAAAAAATAGTAATAGGGAATCGCGCCCTGGATAGTTTCTTTAATTAAAATGATACATTAGAATTATAATTTTAAGTAGGTTCTGGACAAAGAATTTAAATGGGTCTTCTACGTGTTAACGAATTTTTGCGAAAAAAATTGATGAAATAGAAGGCAAAGTTTTAAGCCAAAGTAAATGTTATCATTGTAATCCTTGGATATGCAAATATCATTTGTTAATGGATCAAGTTTTCGGGGTTGATTTTTCTTTTTTTTTGTGTAACAAACTTTGATCTTGTATTTCAGAGACATGGTTCTTGCTGGAAATACTAATTTATGCCCATTTATCGTTACAAAAACAGACATACCACATTGGCCTGTTTGATAATTGCATTTATACCATTTAGCAAAAACAGCCAAGCATTGTACTGTGAGGTAGTCGTCCGAGTTAATGATATTTTATTAATAATTCACTAATTTATTACTTTCCGTGATCCATATTTTACTATTTCAGGAACAATTGATAAGTGCCTTTTATATAATTCTCAATGATAACAAAGTAATTTTTCTCTTATTTTTATCACATAAGTCTAATGTTGTTTGACCAAAGTTGTAAAAAATATTGCGTCAAATTCGCTGCCATTAAGTCAAAAATGAAATGCTTTAGAGGCTGATAAAATATAAAAGCTCATAAAAAAACTTATAAATATATATTCCAGGTCTTTTTTATATTTTCTTGTGTATTCCAATTTCTCCTTTGTTTCATCAGGACCAAGTTTTTCTTTTGCTGAATACAATTCAGTTCCCACACATTCATTCATTTATTACTAAACTCAAGCATTACTTGTATTACACAGTATTTTTATAGTAAATTTTCTCGATATAATGGATGTACTAATTAAATCTCGATTTAATGGATTTTTTGAAAATTTTTCTCTAATGCTAATACTAAGTGGCCAAAATTATCTGCTAAATCGAAATTCACTGTGTAATATTAATATTAATAACGTGATACATGATCAGGGTAAATAAAAATTTTACGCAAAAGCTTTTTATAATATTAATATCAATATTGATCGGTTAAGTTACTTTGCAATAATAAACCATCTTTATCTTTATCCTTATTGTAGTGATCGACGAAGAACGAATTTTGGTTGGTCCTTGCGGAGGAAAGCATAGATAATTAATATTATGATAAAATAAATTCTGATAGAATCGTTATTTTTTATTAAACGTTAATAAGCTTTTAAAATAAAAACGTTGGTTTTATTTTTTTTTTGTTTAAAGCGCTTTGATAAAAGCAACAAGTGTAGTTCCAATTCGTAAAAGGTAACAATTATGGAGTTATTTGCTTTGATTAGTAAACAAGGTTAGGATTAACGTTGGTTAAATAGTGGGTGTTAACAGTGATCAGTAACGTGATTTGCTTTAGTGAGCAAGCAAAGGTTAGGATAACAGTAGGTGTTAATGAAGTATTGTCCAAAGGTTAATCGGAAATACTGGTAGTGTTGTTGTAAATGTAAATGTAAGGCTGTTAAACAAGCTACTTAAGTTGTTTTGCAAGTAAACCAAAGCGAGTTTGCAATCGATCAATAAATCAAAACCCTTGAGCTTTGTAAAAGGTCATCTTTATTTACCTGGTATCATTAAATGTACCCACAGATTTGTTGTAAACTAATTAATTGACAAGCACCAAATTATTGCAAGTTGCCTGCATAATCAGCCATACTTGTTAAATAATCAGTATTAACTGAAATGATACCTTGCAATATAACTATTTAACAAGGATCAAAAAACTGCAAAAAATTTATTATTTAGCTTTAAGAAATAAAATAAAGATAAAATAAAAAGACAAATCATTATAACAAAATAATTTAGGAGATTAAATTGATCATTTATTGATTCAGAATCTAACGCAATCAAAAAAATATTGCTAGTAATAATTAACAGATAGTAAGTTCCAATTAATTAATTAAAAATGAAATTTTTATTTACCTTCAACATCCTAGAGGAGAGAGTTAAAATCAAGACTATTTAACGAACTATCATTACTTGTATAAATTTTCAAGCTTTTTGATTTAG